GGGGCAGGAGGCACCTGACCCAGGGAGCAGCCAGCACCCCACCCCCCTGCACACGGCCAGGCCCCGCAGCCCCTCCCCTCTCCAGGGATGCTGCCAGGGCCCAGGGGAAGAAGCCCGCTGGGGTCTGCAGTCACCCAGGGCCGTCTCCACACAGCCTCGTCACTCAGGCCCTGGTGCCTGCACCCCCTGCTCCCCGCGCCGTCTCCCTCCTCGTAAAGCACGAGGCCCCCTCCGCATCTTCCTGGATATGGCTCCGCGTGCCGCCCGCCCCAGCCCCCAGCCACGTCCAAGCCCCAGTTGATTCTTTCCCTTCTCGCCTCACCAACGCTGCTCCCCACACCTGCTCCCGCACCGCTGCCCGCCACAGGTGGATGTCAGGACCGGGGCGCTCAAGGGGCTTTGAGGTCAGTCCGCCGTCCTTCTGCCCTTCCATTGCGAGGCCCACGCAGGGGCCCAGGCCTCCCACCCCGCCGGCCACGTCACCCTTCAGGGGACAGGTCCGCGTCCCCACCTTGGGTACAGGAGGGGCCCCGGCAGCCGGATGTCAGCCTTTCGTTCTGCCCGCCTCTGCCCGCGGGTCAGGACTCGCCCGTCCGTGTGTGCGTCCGGGCCCATCGTCCGGGCTCCCGGCAGCCTCAGGGACAGCTTCCTGAGGAAAGGGCAGGCTTCCTGGGCTCACGGACCCTCCCCCCTGCTCAGTGATGGATGTGCCCGAGCAGGCGGGGCCCCCAGTGACAGGCCTCAGCCGGGGTTCCTAGTCGCGGCCGGAGATGAGGAAGTGAGCCCAATCTCTGCCCAGAGTTCCCTCCCCGCTGGTTCCTATAATGGCCTTGCCTGGCCTCACAGGCCGTGGCTCCCGCCGTAGACACGGCTCCCACACTGCCGGGGCCGCTGACCTGCGGTCCTGGGGGGCTGCTCGCTGGTCACCATCAACGGCAGACTCTCCCTTCCGGCCTTTCCCTCTCTGTTCGGCGTATCTGGGACAAACCCAGGGGGCACCTGCTGGGTCCGCAGCAGCCCCCGGGCCCTGGCCAGCGCCCAGCCCAGGAGGGGGGAGTGTGGCCCCAGAGCATAGACACGTGGGGTCGGTGGGCCGGGAAAGCCTGCGTGCCCCCCTCAGCCCACCTGGAGGGTGAGAACGAAAACCCGCGCCTCACGGGGGCGTCAACGCAGTGCACAGATGGTACTCCAGGGTGGCAGCTGGCACTTAACAAGTGTGGGTTTAGCAGAGGGCGAGATCGTACCCTTCCAGCCTGGAACACGTTCAGGGAGGTCTGGTTGGAGCATTCACTGGGCTCGTACTGAACAAATACCTTGTGGGCCCACGCAGACCTTGTCCAAGCTCCAAGAAGCATCTCTTCACAGCTGTCTGGTCACCCCGGGACTGGGGTGACCAGTGTCCCCCAGATTCGTACCCACCAGGGAACCTCAGAAGGCATCTTATAAGAAGAGGAGGGACACAGACAGACAGACAGGGGGTGGGGGCCATGTGACCACAGAGGACAGACGGAGGATGCGGCCCACCGCCCAGGAGCACCTGGAGTCCCAGGAAGAGGCGGGAAGTTCCCTCCCCTGGAGCCCCTGGAGGGAGCTGGACCCTGGAGACACCTTGAGTTTGGACTTTGGGGCCCTGGACCGCGAGAGAGTCAGGTCTCATCGCCGGCCGCTGCGTGTGGGGCTGTGTCGCGGCAGCCCCGGGGAACTAATTCACCTGTGACCCCCACGCCTGCTTTCTCTGCCGGAGGCAGGGTGGAGCCCACCCACGTCATGGGATTTTGTGAGAATCAAGTCAGAACGGCCCATACGGGATGCGTCGTGGTCACTGACAGCGGTGTTGACGTTCTGAACAGACAGCACCCCCAAGTGCTAACCAAGCATGGCCGTTTAATCTTCGTGACGACCCAGGGAGCGGGGGGAGGGGGCTGCCACTGTGCCCTTTT